TGTTGCCCACCGGTTTACATGTTTCCGCTTTATTATTGAAACCTGTAGTAGGCTTCATTGCGGCCTAAGCAGTCTTCTCGGAAACAAAAGATAACGTTTCCGAAGGACTGAAGTTGTATATTATTCTCATCCGTAGTGTCAAAAGTGATAAGCGTGATCGCGTGCTGGTGGCGTGAGAGACTGACCTGAAGAAGGGATTCGAACTGAGCTCATTGGTTTCTGATCAACAGCGCGGCCGGCCTGAACAAATATAAATACGTGGGTCATGGAAGCGAAGTTTGGACAGTCGCGCCACTGCGGCGTATATGTTCAAGCTGCTTTCGTACACGTGTTTATATTTGTTCAAACTGGCCTCGTTGATAACAAACCTGAGAACGTATTTTAGTTTTTCTCGACATGAAACGTAAAGGCCACATATCCAGTCGAGAGCACAGTAAAGTTACACAGTTAATAAAAGAAACCCGTGAACTAGCCTACGCCATTTGTAACATTTAGGGCACTTGGTTATAAAATTTTACGCAGGAGTTCCTACATTACCTAAAGACTTAGAAGAAAAAAAAAAAAAGGCAGTCACTATCTTCCTATCTGAGATCGTCACATCATATCCCAAAGTATGTATGAGCTGAAGAAACAAAAAAAAAATCGTACGTAAAATAGACTACCTACTATATTACCGCCATACGCATTCAACTTTCCCGTGAAGGACACTCGGAGAGTCGAGGAAAGACAGCGACGCACTTGTTTTCCGACGAAGCCCTAACTTAACCACACCGCGACACGGCTTCATTTGGCGCGGACCGCCAGCCTGCACGGAACGCCCATAGACCGTATAGTAGAGATCGACGCGGCACCGAAGAGCCGATGCACCACAAAGGGCGGTATCAGAGCCGCATAAATTCGCCTTACTCGCGTACCAATAAAAGAAGACAGACAGCCAGAAGGGGGTTTTCAAGAAACTGGTTCCTTCAGAGCACTGCACCGTCGACGGGGGTTTATTTAACTGGTGTAGTTAGCCGTTTTATCTCTCCAACCCGGACGACGGCGAGACGCGATTCCGGGAAGGAAAGCCACCAACTGCAAGGATTTATTTCTAGGAGTTCGGCCCTGCCTCCGCCGCAGCTTCCTCGTGGTCGTCGTTGTTGCCGTCTTGCTTGCCCTACGCTGCTAGACTGTAATGCTAGGTTTCAGGGCTGCAGTCACGTATCGAAGTTTAGCTGATTTCGACCCTCGGACTGACTTACCGTCGTCCCTCTTTCTCTGCCTCGTTCGCTCACTGCTTCTCTATGGCTGTGTGCTGCAAAACAAAGATGTGCTTTGTGTGTAGCCAGAGTTGGGTTTGAAAGATTGTCTTCTATTTTTCCTTTGCGGCTTTTACAGTATCCATAACCTTCCGACAGATGGGAAACGGAATTAAAAAATTCTGAAAGATATAAAAACAAATTTACGCGTCTACGGTTGCTTTAGAGTATATACGAAAAGATGTCGATGACCCATTATATATATATATATATTTATATATGAATGCCACGCAGTTCGTGACCTATGACTTTTTGTTTAATTTGCATGACATCAATTATATTGTTTGTGTTTATCGCGTGAACTTTCCGGGGGGGGGGGGGGGGATACAAGCCGTATTATCAAATTACTATTAACAGCAATCCGAAAAGCTGGATTCTCAGTTCATGGCTACGCTTATTGTAAAGCAGCATTTGTGCGGGTACTGGTTCAGCCTTCTAACAGATACTCTGAAAGGGCGGTGGGAGCTACGTTCCGGTTGGACCAGTCAACTGTGCGCCCTGCATCACGTGATCACGTTCTTCGCGCAAAATCGCGGGCAGGGAGCGGAGTCACGCGATGAAATGCACGCGTCGATCGGTCCGGCGAGCACAAGGCTTTCCCCAGCTCCTTGTCAGTTTAGGTTTCGTAACACGGACTCGTGTTCTGTGCATGTACAGTGCGCTGCAATACGAAAGACCCACTCGGAGCGCTTGGCCGAGCGCTCCAAGTGGGTCTTTCATATTACAGCGCACTGTGCAGTGCAGAATGTCGACAGAAAATTAGTCAGCTAACAATTTTTAACTTCGATCCCACTGTGAGATTTAGACAAGTGTACTCTGTAGGACTCACTTCAAAGGCAGCACCGTTTTTGCTTTCTTGAAAAATTCCTCCCGTGATTCATATGATGCAATGTTACGGCTGGTGCACACACTCGCTGCTCCTTAGGACCGTTTGCCCTAAAGCCTTTTAAAATGTCTTACAATGAGAGAGAGCGCACTGTCACGCATCCGCCAGTTGGCTGTGGGTATCGGCGAACGATCCCGGGTTATCCGCGAATATGCAGGGTTCTACTTATATGTCAGAACTGCAAGGTCGGACTTGGGTAAAACAGACGAAATGTCATCTTGACACAGGCATATTGAACTTTGCATTAGGTACCAATAAGTTATAAAATGGGGACCTTGGCTTCCAGTAAGAAATGTCTTAAAGGAAAGCTAAAGAGGTTCTTGAAAAAAAAATGAGTTAGTGTTAATTTCATAGAATTTTTATCCCGTGAATCTGAATATCACTTTCGTTTTCTCCGAACGCGTAACTAAACGCGAGAAAACACGAAAAACCTCCGACCAGTCGTGACGTCATAAAAGGACCTTTGGTGTGTCGCTCGTGTGGGCAGCGGGTGCAATTGCAAGCTTGCCAGGTATATTCCCCGCACTGACACCAGTCGTGACGTCTCTTTGTGACCCTTTTAAAAATAGCAACAGTGCGCGTGCACAACTTTAATATGCCCTGAAGATGCGCTAGAGCGGAGGTTCCAGAAACTCGTTGTATGACGTAACGCTCCGGGAAGGAGGGGCTTCAGCGGTACTTTGAAAATTATTTTCTGCAGGCTCCGGGTTTCAAATTGAAAAATAATATCAATATTCTTGATCCTGGAGACCAAACGAAGACGATTTAAGTGGTTTTACTCAAATACAGAACCGCTTCAGCTTCCCTTTAATTGCAGGATTTCTGCGCACCATAAGATATGTCTTTGAACTCAGGCCTATAGATATATTTGTTTTGAGGAGGCATGCGCATTGAGTTTTTAGACCTCCAATACTTCTTTTGAGTGGTTCAGACATTTGCATGAGTTACGTTCTCAGTAACGGCAGCGACAGCGATGACAAAATCGTAAGAACCAGAGTGTCTCGCATTATATGCCTCGCGGAAAGCAGTCTGAACGGTAACTGCGAGAATCAGTCACGACTCAGAAAAAAAGCGCGCTTCCATTGTTATTCACCTGTGATATGCCTCCTGCGCTAAAGCGTTGAACAAACTGTGACGCCCTCATTTTGGGTAGTACAAGCTTACCTGACTTGGCCTCGCTCTAATTGTGGCTCCGTCCCTGAGCTTTTTTCATTGTATGTAACGCTGAAAAAAACAAAAAAAAAAAAAAACCTTTTAACGTTTGAAATTGGTTAGATTCAACGCCGGTAAGACCAGCGAAAGTGCCAAGTTCATGCCGCCACCGCTAGGGTACGCGTCTCTAACCTTAGGGTCCAGGGAGACCTAGGATGGTCTAGCTTCGAAGCCAGGGAAGCCACCAGCAAGATAAGTTATGATACACGACTTCGCCACATGGATCGAAACCGATGGGCCAAAAAACTTTTTGTACACACTCACATGACTGGGACAAGAACAAGGTGGCAGAAGCGCCTTTATCAACTCCAAAAAAAGTACGGCTTCTTTGCAGAACCCTTAGAGGTAGTGACGGGCGAGAGGTTGGAGTCGATAAATGAGTCGATAAAATCCATAAATGAGGTGTTATACCGTAGTAGACCGCGTAAAGCTATTGGTGAACTTTCTGTTGATGGGGAAAACGTTTCTGGGGCATCACTAGCAGAACACTTCAATAAAGTATTCGTAAACTTAAGCCCACCGCCAAGTAATGCTATTGCCTTCAGTTTTATAGAAGATATAGTACACGAAACAATTTTTTTAGAACCGACTGATGAACACGAAATATGTTCTATATTTACGGGTCTTAGCAATAGTAGAAGTTGCGACACAGATGATTTACAAGCTAGACCCGTAAAATTTGTTATAGATATCATCGCCTCTGGTGCATATTTTGAACCTTGCCTTGTCACAGCTAGGGGACGTTTCCTAGTAGAATGAAATTAGCTAAAGTATCAGTCATATTTAAAGGAGGAGATAAAAATCTACCGACAAACTATAGGCCTATCTCTATACTTCCTATATTTTCCAAAGGGCTTGAAACAATTATTTTAAAACGCCTCGATTCTTTCTTTGCTAAACATTCTGTGATTTCGGATTTTCAAAATGGTTTTCGCAAAGGAAAGTCAACTGAGTCTGCATTACTTCAACAAAAAGAAATTATTTTGAAAAATATAGAAAATCGCCTGTTTACCCTTGGTATATTTATAGAATTTAGTAAGGCTTTTGATTTCATAAACCATAAAATACTACTTGATAAACTATACTGTTATAAAATACGTGGTGTAACTCTGTCCCTTTTACATTCCTATTTGGAGCACCGTAAGCGATGTGTTGTGATCGATGGTCATACATCGCCTTTTCTTAACATACGATGTGGGGTTCCCCAGGGTAGTATACTTGGGCCAATGTTATTTAATGTGTATATTAATGATATTGTAAATATAAACAAACAAATAAAATACACAATATACGCTGATGATACCAGCCTATTTCTTGCCGAAACGAGTGTTGAAAAATTAATCGTAGACGCAAATGTTGTTCTTAGCCAGTTCCTTATATGGTCCAACAACAATGGCCTTAAAATTAACATTCAGAAAACGAAAGCTATAGTTTTTCGACCAAAGAGCAGGGCTGTGCCAATTAATCATAATATTACAATAGGCAGCGTACCAATCGAGTTAGTGAAACAACATAAAACGCTTGGAATAATTTTTTCCGAACACCTTTTGTGGAATGATCATGTCAATTATCTTGTTACGAAGCTGTCTAGGGTGGTTTGAGTTATGTCACACTGCCGCAATATTTTCCCAGTTAACGTGAAATCACAAATCTACTATTCACTATTTCAGTCTTGCATTAATTATTGCCATCTTGTTTGGGGGACAACTACACAAACAAACATAGAAAAACTTACTTTACTTCAAAAAAGATGCTTCGATCGTTATATTGCCAATGAGCACTATCTCGCTCACACCAAACCTTTGTTTGCCAAATATAAAATAATTAATCTTGATAAGATGTATGACTATAGATTACTGCACAGCTTTCGTTTTTCATCTCCTGAGCATGCTTCGCTTTTATGCAAGATGTCAGAGCTCTCCGAACATCCTCGTAGCTTCAACACCCGTCTTTTTGAAAAATGGATAGTACCACGAGCTCGTACTAACTATACTTACCAGTCAATTACATATCGTCTACCTTTATTACTTAATCATCTTCTTAATAATAATACTGATATATATCAAATGGGAAGGAAATCATTACTTATGCATTTCTTGTGAATTGTTCCGTGAAATTCCTTGAGCATACCCATACCTTTGTATAAATTTTGCATTTTGTACAGTGCTGTTAGAAGTTATGCGTTTGTGCGCCTTGTGTTGTTTTGCGTAATTTTCTTCTATATGTAGCTGTATATGTTCTCAATCTGTCACAAGTTCTGCGAATAATTTTTTTTTCTTTTTGTATAATGCTGTTAGAAGTTGAATGCATGAAGTGATTACTCAACGTATCTTTGCATGTAATATCCTTTTGTGTTCTGAATGGATGTCCTGCTGACAAATTTTAGACGGGCTCCAGACCTCGTCAAGCTGCCACTGACAGCTTTTTGTCTAGGGTCTCCGTTGGCTTAAAGGCCATAAATAAAACGATTGATTGATTGATTGAAAGTGAGAAGCAGAGTACTTGAGAGGGAGGTCTTCCAGTGGTTTGAAGTCGCTCAAGCGAAGCCAACGCTGCTGGTGTACAGTAAAAACAAGCAGCTGATCGCGGCTGAAACCCTGCTCTATGACAACAGCTTGGGCATGCCACCTTCTGTTCGAGGCGCGAGCGGGCGCTTTACAAACTTTGGTATACCGGGAGCGGTTTGACCCCAAGGTGGTTTCCACGATGTGCCGCGTGTGCAGAGAAGAACCTGAGACAGTTGAACACCTAGTGCTCTACTGTGAGTGCCTGCTGCCAACCCCACTGGTAGATCGCAGGCTTCACTCAGAGGCGATGCTAGCATATGCACTGGGCTTTAAAACGACGGCTGACTCAGACAACCCCTACACGGGCGAAGCAGACGACCCTCCACAAGACAGGCATGACATTTCTACCATGCAGTGCGTGCGAAGGACGAAAGCGCGTCTGGAACACTGGTGGAAGAAAATTTAGAACAGATAGCTCATAGTTTTTTTTTTTTTTTTTTTTTTTTTTGGGGGGGGGGGGGGGGGGCTAGGGCACGAAGACTCTTCGAGCTCGCCCGGTATAAAGGGAAAAGCCGCATCATCATCATCATCATCATCATCGGTGGTGACGTCAGAATATCTAGCCTCCCAAAGAATTTGTTTTCCTTCCGTTTCTTTCTTTTTTTTTTTTTTGTCAAGGAACGCGTGAAACTGTGTATTTTGGCTCATGCTCTTCGCGCCTAAAGCCTGAAACGCACGTGAGCAAAAATCGCGTCGCATCATCCCGCCGCCAAGCAGCGTAACCATAGCAACCACCGTCGCTGACGCTATCACAGGAAGGCACGACATTGGCGAGTCCAATGACTACGCCGTTTGGGGACTCGATGTGACGCAATTCTTGCTCGCGTGTGTTTCACGCTTTAGCCCAGTGGTTCTCAGCCACTGATGTTTCGCGGACCCCTTGTGGATCGGCCGAGGTAATGGAGGACCCCGTTTGCGGTGAGGGGAAAGGAATGTTATAGGCTAATTATGATAGCGATTCAATAAATATATATAACTAAGGGCTGGTGTGAAGTAGACTTCTCTGACTGACATATACACGAGAAAACACACCCCGAAATTGGAATGTTTCTTCTTAATCTGAGAAAAGGCAACTTTTATTGCCGGGCTTGAGTGATGAGGCTGGATTTCGCGAACCCCTTGAATGCCTTCGCGGAGCCCAAGGTGTCCGCGGATTCCATTTGAGAACCACTCCTTTAGCCAATTGACGTGTGATTTGAGTCTTTGACGGCGTTATAATTTGTATTGTTTCTTTGTATTTTTCTCGTGATCGCGTTCCGTACCAGAGCAAGCATGCTTCTACATGAGCGACAGTTTCAGATACTCACGTTGGTACCATATAGTTATTATAATGTACGCTAGAGGTTCAAGTGGCGCTAGTGCGCTGACGCAAATTGAAGCAGACAGCATCCAGTTGAAAATTGACTTCCCGGTAATGCATTTCTATGGAAAAAAGCGAGTGCATTTCCTTCCTGCGCTTCATTGTAACCGCAAATATCGCGAAGAATTTGTCCGTCCTAGGTAGAGTGGAACATGTCTCAGACGGCAACGGCAGTCAGGCAGACGAAATAATTGATCTGTTACGGCACTTTTATTTAACATGCATTGCAATCAAAACGGTACTAAAACGGCTTCGTTCACGTATTTATGTGCGCGGTCGGACACTGTTAGCGCGAACACGGCGTCTGCGCTTTCCAGCATGGGGGATGCCAAACGAACGAAGAACATGTAGAATACCAAGAGATACGGCAAGAACTACGCAGTAGCTCTGGAGCAGTTACTCTCACCACAAAAATAAATTGAAGGCCACGTAATATAGTCCAATTTAAAAAAAATAAGTACTGCATTATTCTTTAGGCTCATCAATGTGTGCGAAAACGCTTGTTCTGCGTTCCAAACATCACCTGCAAGCTCAAAATCTTTATAAAAAAAGAAGAGAGAAGCCAGAGAACAGGTGCCCGATAAAAGCTGCCCGATAGAGGACATATTAAAGAGACACAACTTTCATAGCCAACGTACTTACTTCTTTACGTTTCGAATGTTTTTTGAGCGATCGCAAAGATGCACGACGGGGCCATTTTTACATAGTGACAGGACGTGCATATCAGCCATATATAAGCGAATTTTCAACACACCACACGTTATTTTCTATTGTTTTTTTGTTTGCTTTTTTTCTGTTCCTTGGCTTAGAATCTTCGCTCGTTGTTAAATACCTGCAATGGAACAGCGTTACATATTGCGAATTTGTATCAACGTTCACTGGTAAAGAAAAATGCTGCAACTAAAGTCATTACACTTTTACAACGTTAATAAAGGTACATATGATTCCAATTGACCCAAATAGCAAAAGTTATCCATGTTATTTTCCGGCGAGGAGACAAAATGCACGTTCGTTTTCCCATAGGAATACACGAGAGCACCGCAAAAGTAGACTGGCTGATGTGTGCTTCAATTCGCATTCCGGGAAGTCGCATAGACACTAGCGCCAGTTGAGCCTCTAGCGTACACTACAATAACTCTGTGTTCTGTACTACCCAAAACAAGTCCTAACAAGTACCTTTTCACAGCGCCCCCTGTGCAACGCAGGAGGCCTATATGCGGAGCGCAAGTTCGTCTGCTTCTTTTGCAGGGGTTGTGGTGACGTCAAGACGCCGAGCTGTGATTGGCTCTAATGGAAAGATAGGGGGTAGACCTGAATGCTAGCTGCCTTGAGGTCTACCCTCTATCTTTCCAACCGGAGCCAATCAGAGCTCAGCGTTCTGACGTCACTGGAATACCTGCTGAAGAAGCAGACGAACTTGCGCTCCCCATTGGTCGAAAGTGATGTAGCCCATCCTGTCAGCATCCCATTGTCAGGGTCGGAAAACAGCAGACAAATTTAGAATTGAAAGTGGGCCTTTAAATGAGGCTAACTCGTGCCTACACGTTTCCAGGGGAAATTACGGCGCGTCTCGCGTGGGCGACTAACTCGAAGCTGCAGCGCGTTACCGCTGCTTCGATGACAGCCAAAGATACGGTGGAACTTTCCAAAAAAATAGATATCGTAAAAAAAAAACAAAAAAAAAAAACCCAGGTCGTGTGAAGTTTAAATTTTGTTCCTCCGCGTGCCTCGCCTACTCCACCGCGCTCGCGGCGGTAATACATGTTGGACGCTGCACCGTACCAAGCCACCAAGCACTGTTGTCTCGACGACTCTTTTGTTGTCGTCATTTCTGTGAGTGAAAGCACCTCGGCTTCACTGTCTGAACCAGCCACGGGCCTCGGGACTTATTGCGTAATTTAAACGCCCTATTTGCCCCGCGGACATCTTGTATACTTTGTTCCAATCAAGCTGCGCCAAAAGTGCCTCGTCATGGCACGCGTCGTTTTTGTGCGTTTCCTGTTAGTAGCTCCTAAACCAATCAGGCACAATGAATACGCCGTGACTCCGTGCTTTCATTTTGTGCACGTGATTGGTTTATACAGCCGACGACAGGAAACGCACAGAGACAACGAGTTCCGTGAGGACGTTTCTTTGGCGCCGCTCGACCGATCGGAGAGTATACAGTCAGATACGATCAGTGTGAAACAAAATATAGTGCACTGAGAATTATGGTAATATTGAGTTTTATGTAGTAGTTGGTGCGAGAGAAGGTAAGCTTGTTCTTTCAAACCTTTTTTGAGTTTAACGGCCGAAGGTTGAGCGTCGTTGATGAGAAGTCGAGCAATAGGAGCTCGATCGCTCGCACTATTCGGGAGAGACCGTTCTTTCCGAATGAAACGGGACAGCTCGGTCAGACACACAATCACTCCATTCGTGTGGAGAAAGAAACTGTTCATACGTAATTAATACACGACGAACATCAATCGTCGCACTGATTGCTTGGCGAAATTGTAATTTTTTTTAACGTAGAATGATAATGCAATTTCGAATCTTTAGGAATTAACGGGGCTTTTGGGGTTTTTAACGGGCTTGGGGAAATGAAGATGGGCATTTTGGGAATGCTTTAAATACGTTCTATTATCGAGAAAATCCACCTCCAAGGACCTGCGAAACGAGAGCAGTTGCAGAGTTGTCCAGCAGCATAGAGTACGAGCCAGAGCGTGCTTTTAGCACGACTGCTCCTGTCGCCAAAGTACTCCTCAAAGCTGCAATAAGACTTTACCTTCGAGTTATTCAGCAGTCCGCTAAAGTTACCTTAAACTTTCTCTTAAAGTTCTAACCGTGGCATCACGACAACTTTTCTTCAGTTTTCGTGAGCACGGCATTTCGCCATTGCCATTATTCCCGTATAGTTTTCGAGCCGTCGCTCGACAGTTTCAAGTTTCGAACAGTTTATGCTTTTCGTTTGCTGTGATACTCTCATCATGCCTCTTGGGCATGCCTTATTGTTTTCTGACGTTGTGAAGTTATTATTGGACACATTTTTTTTTTCAGATCTTTTAGAAGAAAACCATCAACGAATATCAATTATTAAATTATCTACCGTATCTCCGCTTTGACACTAACAACTATAGAATAGCGGAAAACCCGTGCTCTTTTGTGCTTCTTAATCGCAACAAAAAGCCAGTGAACT